GGAGTTGAAGTCCACTCATCTTAAAGTGGCCAAGTTTGGATAACACTGAGTTAGGGGGAAAAATGCCTGTGTGCAGAAGTCATGTGAGTGGATCAAATCTATTCATAATGGGATCATTTCAGCCATTTGAATCAATATGCCAATACTGAGTAAAAACCTGATTCAGTGGGGTTATTCTACTGAGTGGCTTTCATATTGAATCTCCAAACTGAATATTTGTACACCCCTATTTCTTGCAAATTTCTGTAAGTTTTTGAGCTTATTTTATTTGGAGGTGCTATTGATGATGGGCTTTTTGTTTTCGCTGACAGGAATCCGTCACTCTGATACCTCCTTGGCTGACCATCCTTCCCAATCTGAGAAAGAAAAAAGCTAATGGGAGGAGCTAACCCCCCCCCCCCGGCTTGCACATGCTTCCCATTGGCTTTAAAAGAAGTGTGAAGAAACAGGGATCACAGACGGAGATCACAGGAGGGATGAGTGACAAAATCAATTCTCTTTCACTGAACTGAAGGAGCATGGTAGGAAAATAACTCCAGGTTGGTATTGCTGCCAGTTGCTAACTATTCCTCAAGGAACTGGCTGGAGTAAAGTATTGCACCTGTTCTTTACACAACGTCTTAAAAATATTAAACAGGAGAATGATTTTGAAAAAATAATAACTTGCCACTCTCTCCAAATTTCAGCTCCCTTTGGGGTCTCTCCTAATCAGAGATGCAGAAATATTTATTGTCAGACTCAACTTTTAGATGGTGCCCTGGGATATACGCTCCAGAAGGAAGCCGATCCAAAGACGCAGGTGGAACCAGAACAAAGCTAAATGGGATTGAATTCAAATGTAAATCCCCTTAAATTAAAAGATATCCATTAAATCAGGGTTATAAAGACTTGCCATAGGTTTAATTATTTCTTCCTTCTATCATATTAAAAAATTCAATTTGATGTTGACATATGGAGAGGCTCTGAAGGCTGAGCCCCAAACTAACAGGTGGGCTCTGTTATAAAATAAATTTCATGCTTCATTTATTTATTTATGTTTATTGTATAACGTTTTTATATCACCACTCTGTGACACTTCGCATCCTACATACTGTATATTTATTGCAAATGAAGTCCCACTATATCCAGTGTGGTTCACTGCCTAATAAGCATGCAAAGGGTAGCAGTCTTAGCATGGGCATCGTAATCAGCTTCATGTCAAAGTTAAAGCTGAAGCATTGATGGGGTTCATGGCAAAAACACAGGTAGATCTAGAGTCTTAGCACATGCAGTGCAGTTCATACCGTCAACCAACCTCTGCAAAGAAATAGTCTTAGAAATTCTGGAAACAAAGTCCAAAATCACCTAACTTCTCCAGCTAGATAAGTGCTATGTTTTAAAGTCAGGTTTATGATAACAGAGAATCAACAACAACTGGAAATGGCTCCTTTACACCTTTATTTAAATGTACTTGTCCCAGAGCAAGCTATAACAAAAGCTGCTGGCAGAACTGAACTTCCAGGTGGCATTTAGAGGGCCAGTGCAAGAAAGGAGAACATTGTCACAAGAGGAGTAGGAAGGATATCCCACCAAATCAGAAACACTTGAGATGTAGATCCCCATGATATCCTAGTCTGTACTGTTCCCAAAAAAATGGACACTCAACAGCTGCTTTAAAATACAAACCTAATGGCCAGGTTCTGTTTGTTTATATATTTATCTATTGCTTCAAATTATAGCCTTCCTTTCTGCTTCATTTGTGGCTAACCTGGAGAGAAAATGTCTTTCCTGCATAATACTCAGGATGGGCTTGAAACTAAGAATGTGGATTAGACTCACACGCCCATCTTCCCAACAGTTAAGTCCAACGGTACAGGTAGTCCTCAATGTACGACCATTCGGTTAATGACCATTCGAAGTTACGTCAGCACTGAAAAAAGTGACTTACAACTGTTCCTCACACTTATGACCATCACAGCGCCCCTGTGGCCACGTGATCAAAATTTGGGCATTTGGCAACTGGCATGGATTTATGATGGTTGCAGCGTCCCAGGGTCACATGATTGACATTTGTGACCTTCCCAGGGGGCTTCTTACAAGCAAAGTCAATGGGGGAAGCCAGATTCGCTTAAGAACCATGTGATTCACTTAATGACCACAGCAAAAAAAGGTTGTAAAATTGGGCATGACTCACATAATGACTGCATCCTTAGTGACAGAAGTTCCAATCCCAATTATGGTCAAAGTCGAAGACTATCTGTATTCAATAATACTGATTTCTGAGTAAATATATTTACAACTTTACTGCAATCCTACAAAGTTATACAACTGGCTTTCCAGCTTGCTAACATCCAGTTATGCTGGAACAGATGAATGCTCAGTCAACATGGTCTAACTCCCATCATACTCATCCACTGAGCACATTGGTAGAAATTTTAGTCCAACTGTGTCTACTTATTGATGTTATATTTCTATATCAAATATTTTTTTCTTTTCTACTTTTGCTTGTTCATTCACTTTTCTCTCTTCTTTTCTTCTTTTAAAAATGATTAATAAATAAAAAAGAAATTCCAACAATCTGAAATTGATACATACATTTCCCTTGATGTAAGCCCCACTGAAATCAATGGTTTTTTTTCCCCTAACTAAACATGCATACGATTGCACTGTTAGCAAATTTGGATGGATACTTTAAGTTTTTAAAGCAAAGAATAATTGTCCCAAAAGTTGTAGAAAGCTTTTACTGATGTCGCATTTCAGTTTTATGAAGCCAAAGAAGTAAACACAGTGTGCCGGCTTGGGTTGTATGAAAACATTCACAAGAACACTCACCAGAGTGAACGTTGTTGTGAAAAGAGTATGTGTGATAATGACATTCATAAATTCTCTAAAGGCAGCATTCTCAGTGTGAAAGCTATTGACAACATGTTTTATTCAAAACAGATTGGAAAGAAGTCAATGTATTCTATCGATGCAAGAAAAGAGCTGATTTTTCCAGTTCGGTAGCTTCTAGATTGTAATTATGAATACGTTCTTCCCCTTTCTTTTAATTTTTTCCACCTCAGTTAATATGACTTATCTCAGTAATTAATGAGACTGTAACATTGCCCCCATTTACCTTGAAGTAATCCTCAGTGGATACGTTGGCCTTTCCTTCTGAACATCCATGTATAAGCCATGCTTAGGGATGCACTGCAGGATTCTGCACCTAATTAAGATGCCGGGCATAAATCTTGATTTGGAAGTCTAGTAAGATATCTTGTGATTAGTATTACCTTCAGTAACCGCTGCTTAGGTTTCACCGTCTTCGTTGTGGTTCTTTTCAATGGATCCATGAATGCTGGTAGCCACTTGCGCAAAAGAATTGTGCAAAAGATGAGTTTCCAACCTTTATTAGATTTGTTGCTTCAAGAGCTGGATAGGCATAGTTGATCATATGAAATCCCCAGGGAAAGGAGGAGGAGGAGAAGAGACAGTTGGTGGCAGACAACATGAGAACATTAGAGGAAGCTTATTTGTAGCCACTGGTAAGGATATAATTAATCAACTCAAATGTTAATGAAAAACCAAGCATTCTGCAGCGTGTACCTTCTCTCCACACCAATTGTTTATATAGAGAAGGTGCAAAGGCCAAAGAAGTTTGTACAATGATAAGCCCACCAAAATGAGCTGAAATGTTTACTAGGAGTTTATTGCATTCTGGACATGGAAATAGAGGAAGTCCTCCCCTAACTTGTTGTCCTGATATGCTGGACTCCAACTCCAAAATACTGAGACAATTTCATAGGAGATGCCTTTTCCAAACTGGTGCCCAGAGAAGTGTTGGGATTGCAATTCTCAGATTCCCATCCTGGCTGGCCATCGTTCTAGGGGCTGCAATCCCAGTTAGATAGTGCCAGATTTTTGGCAGTTTCTCTAGAACAATAGTTCTGATTTTTTGCTCCTCTAATTGAAAGTTGCTGAGTGTTATTTTTCTTCTATACATCTTCTATACATAACTTTTATATTAATAATATTTTTCCTTAAGCCTAGTATCACTGTCAAAGCTAATTTTGTATAATAAAAATAATGGACCCAGCATTAGAGCATTATTAACCAGTTTGCTAAAAGGACATCAACCAAAATAACCTCAGTTTCCATTATCAGAAAAAAATAAAACAAATTCAGGCCAAGTACAAATATTCTTAATTGTTCTGGAATCTTTCTCTCTGTGTGTGTGTGTGTGTGTGGGGCAGTTCTATACAGATATAGTGTGGAAACTTCTGCTGCAGAGGGCTAAAAAATCCCACAATTCACATCTATTATCTCAGTTCTGTGAATAACTGGGTTAGTGAGGCTAGGAGAACAAGTGGTCTGGTTAAGGCCATGTACTGAGTTCATGGTTAAATTGAGATTTGACACTTGCCAAAAAAATTCCATGGATGTGTCCATGAAGCCTCCAGGAGTTGGGCTCAGTTTGAAAAAACCTTTATATTTCATCTGATCACAGCTCTTAGAAATATGGAGTAACAGATCTCCTTGGAATGGAGTTCCTATCATTTCTCACATTTGGCTATGCTGGATATAATTGGGTATCTAACAACATTTGGAGGGCCAATCCAGCCCATCCTTGTGCTAATGTATTAACAGAATACTTAAATTCCATTAAAATCAATGGAAACATGTACCCTAAGTACTTGGAGAATTGTTAACCCAGTTGAAGTTAGTGGATCCAGGTATACTAAGTGGATCCAGGATGGCAGAGTTCATCCCCACCCTTCCTGAACTTGGTTCTTCCACAGAAATATTAGACATTCCTGTCTAACATTCATTTGGTGGTAAGCTCCACTGAATTCCTTGGAGCTTAATTCTAAATAGACATGTGTTGAAGAATTATGCTTTAAATGCTTACAAATTTGTGGATTAATAGTTCCAGCAATTATATAGCCTTTGGGCAAAAAGAGACAGAAAGTGCTATATACACAGATTTCACAAATGTGCATTTCTACTTAATTAGAGCCATTCTAACCCCAGTTAATAAATGAACAACACAAATTTAATACTTTCACTTGTATCTTTGTGAACAAAGTTCATAATGTTGTTCCCATATTTCTAAAAAATCACTGGGGTACATTTCTCTTCACTAGTAGCTTGGTCCTGGTTCTCCTTTGGTGACACCGTTAATCTGCTGCACACCATGAGTTTCAGTCGATGATTGTTGGTGCTCACTGGAATGAAAGAAAATCTCCTGCTTCTTGGAATCACAGTGCCTGTTCATCAAGATCAAAGCACAACAAGGGCCACAAGTAACTCAGCTCCAGTTGATGCTGAATTTGTGCACTATTCTTTCCTTCAAGGAAGTGCAAGAAAAGTCAAAAGTGATGGTGGAGAGTCTGCAACTATAAGCTGTTTTTGTTTTTTCAAATCAACCGTCATAGGTCAACCATGCAGTTTTTCGATGCTTTCCATATGGAAATAATACACACAAACAAGTTTTTTTGCTCTGTTTGCAAATAAATCTTCAACTTAAGGAGAAAAAATTAGGCCAATTGGTTTCTCAACTGACGGGAAGTAAAAGTGTGGCTATTATTCATCAATTCAAGAAGCTTTAGATAAAGGTATGAAGCGGTTGTTTTGTGATGTATCACAGTTCCGCCTCCATAACCTCAAGGGTATTCTCTGGATTATGATAGTGTAATATGTGCAATGGCCAAAAGGTTGTTGTTGTTGTTGTTGTTCAGTCGTTAAGTCGTG